GCGCGGTTTAGTCGGGCGCGGTTTAGTCGGGCGCGGTTTTGTGGTGGAACCGTTTCTGCCACCTGCAGATATTTCCCACCCTATCCCAGCCTTCATTTCCGGTCCGAACAGACTTGCTTGCTTACCTGATCACGGAACATAAGGGAGATTATCTCCAGCACGTGCAGACTCCACTGCTGTTCACTCGGGGAGCTGGCCAAGAATTTGAGCAAGTCATCCATCCCGCTGATGTGCATAGCCCAGAGCACCCGGTCATGGATGTTGGCATCATCATCAATGTTCTATGGGAGAGATCAGATAGGATTAACCATTAGAATACAGGTAGTCCTCGAGTTACGACCACAACTGAGTCCCAAATTTATGTTGCTAAGTGTAACACTTAAGTGAGTTTTGCCCCATTTTACGACTTTCCTTGTCACTAAGTGAATCATCACACACATTTAGCATGACATGGTTGTTAAGTGAATCTGGCTTCCCCATTGACCTTGCTTGTGAGAAGATTGCAAAAGGTGAACAAGGTGACTCCAAGACACCGCAATTTATTAAGCTTAAGGCATTCCCAACCCCTAAAAGAAACACTGAGAGTTATTCAACAATACTGTAGGGAGTTGAGATAATGCAGATGAAACACTGAATAGGAAACTCCCAATTATCTGAACGTCGTCAACATCACTGTCATTCCTGCCTGACTTCCGCCCTTGCTAGTCTGTATTTTCCAATTACATTTGAATAAATTGTTTTGGCAACTGTCCCTTCAACTGTGGGCTGGTTAGTGAACAATTCCATTCCCAGGGTTTTGACCTTGAAGGTATGATGAGTAGTTAGCCTTTCCCCCTCCTGACTGGCTCCTTCCACCCATAATTCATGGCGAATTGGAAGCTAGCGAATGAGAAGTTCAAGAGAATGATGGCAGTCCTGACCAACACCTACAACAGCACCAGCTAGTATAACTCAATGAGGGAGGAATTTGGGATGCCCAGGTTCCTCTCATCTGCAGTTATATGCTTGTATTTTCACTCCAGGCATCATTTAAGGCTGGCATTTGCCAGCGTAATGCCAGCCTTTCACTCCATTACCTTCTCTTCTTCAGGATCTGCTGGCACATGTAACACATTGCGCACCAGAAGCAAGATGCGCTCAATTAACAGGTTATCTTCTTCTTGACGCTGCTCCCAGTCCTAAAATGAGAAAGAAGAGATCATAGGAAACATACATTTGAGAGCACATGAAAGAGGTAAACTCAAGGAGGAGGCTGTTGTCTTCACTGCTCCCACCCCAGTCTTGATCGACAAAATCTTTGTCTTCTTTCACAATCCTTTCTTGTCCTCAAGCTACCTCCCTTTTGACCTGGGAAATGGGTCGAAATGAAACTCACCAGCTGCAACAGTTCATACAGCTTCTCACTTAACAGTCCAAAGACCTTATCATTGGCAAATGCCTGAAAAGAATGGAGAAAGAAGAAGAATGTACTGCATTAGGTTCCTGTGAAAACAGAAACACACACACACACACACACACACACTCAAAGCAAGCTACAAAAAGTTGATATGTAAAGTACAATCTGCTTCTTCCCTTTATTTGCCTTTAAGTTTTTTTAAAAAAAACTTCAATCCTTTGCCGTTATTCGAATTAGCTGCAATCTCGGAAGCTACAATTCTTCTTTCCTTGAAAGATCTTCAGTTTAAGCACAACAAAACTTATTGTAAAAAGCTTCATGTGCACTGAGGCTTGGAAAAGCAAGGTCTTACTGCCTCATAATCCTGAAATCCCGCAAAAAATGGAATAGGGACTAGAGGAGACCTCCCACTTACTTCTTTATAACCCTGCAGGTAAGAGACAGTCTGTAAGAAGTGATGGCGGAGGTTAAGGTCCTGGGGAATTTTTCCAAAGCAGAGGATAGCTGGTTGGGTTAAATTCACCATTAACCTAGGAAAATAAAGAACCTTTGTCAATGATTGTAACATAAAGCCATTTTAATCGTGTTGTCATTAAACCGCTTCAGTATTAAAACTCTTCACAAATATCTTAAAGCTATACTAATTTCCCACTGACAAAATTAAAGCAATGAATACATTGCTACACTGATATATTACATAGTCCTTAGCTAATTCATTGGAGTGGCTTCCTCAGTATTTCATTTTTTGTAAGTATTTTTCAGCAGTGAATTCCTATATTAGACACAGTTCCAGTTCAGGATTTGGTTCAGTTTTAAATTTAAGTGGATAAAGGCTTAATCCAGACTGGGATCACCATGTGTGACAAACATGGGATTTAAAAATAATCTGGAGATTCTTTCTTTAAACCTATAATATATTGGCAGGGTAAAGGGTTTAATTTTCTAAATAGGCCAGACTTCTTATTTTTCATTCTAACGTCCAATCTAGATTGCCTTCACCTCCAGAGATAATAAAAATTGGTATGGCAGCTGCATTGTACACATTTTAAAATTTGGTTCTTTAAAGGATATTAGTTCCTCCTCCCAACACAATTAAAGTAGTCTCCCTCTATAGCTATGCCATATCCTGGCCTGGATTTAGATTAATGTATAATTGGTTTTAATCAAAAACAAGAGATGAGATGCCACCATATTCTGCTGAAAAATGGATCTGTTTAGCTTTGTTGATTCTGTGAGGGCTAAAATAAGAAGAATGAACTGGTTTTATTCAGGACATCTTTTCCAAACTGCCTATCCTCCTGGTGTGTAGACTTCAATTCCCAGAATCCTCAGCAATAGGCTGGGGATACAACAGATTATTTGGGACTATATTAAGATTTAGCTAAAATTCTCAGTCATATGATATATTTCAAAAATACACACATTATTCAAACTGACTGTATTTAGATATTAAACAAAACTGCTAGAGCATAGAGAACCATCAATCTCATTTATATCTGGAGCCCTCAATTGTTTCAGACTAAAATTATCATAATCTCTTGCCACTGATCAGAGAGTTTGGCCTTTTGGGACAAGACAAAACCATGGAATGGATTGTTCCCTGATCTCTGTAATGCACACTCCTTCATTGCTATCTGCTACTGATATTCTTCATACTTAAAACCTATAACCAATAATCTTTCCTCTGACTTTCTTTCATCCTGCCATTCCTACCTGATGACAGCATCAAACAGCTGTTTATCTTGGGGGTACTGGATGATAATAGGGATGAGGTCATTTTGCAGAATCTGAGCTGCTCCCAGCTGTTGCCGAATATCTCGGGTTTCATCTTCATGGCGCAGATAGCGGATTAAATCTTTCACACTCTCTGGAGGAATTCAAGCCAAGTAGAAGAGAACAATTCAAATGGGTACAAAGCTAGAGCTCATAGAATTGCTATCCCAGGATACATATTAGTTATGTAGAAGGAATGGACAAGTGGCTATGCTATCGAACTACAACTCCCATCATAGCAGGACTGATGAGAGTTAAGAGTTATAATATCTGGAAGACAACATATTATTTAAATGATAGAGTTGTGGGACTAGGGAATTGAACCATTTTGGGTATCCTGGAGCCCACCAAATAAGGATGACAGGAAGATATTTCCTAATTTTTTCAAAACTAAAACAGAAAGTGCCTTTACAGAACACAAATGTTTCCTACTTCATGATTTAGTCGCCTCCATCTAACAATCAATAGCTTGAGACCTGTACACATCCTCCAATATATACCTCGCAGTCTTGATCTCTTACCTATACAGTCTGGTTCTTTATGGTAGGTGTCCCCTTCTAAGAATCCAAGGGCACTGCAAGTTGCTAGGAGTTCACAATTCATCATGTACAAGTCCATAAATCTCAGACTAAGAAAAAGAACAGAGCCTGCAGAGAACAGAGAGAGTTTTAGCTGTGCAGTTGAATATTCATAAAGCAAGGGAATAACTTGATGAAACAATGAGTACTTGCTCAATATCTACCACAGAAGCCTGCAAAAATCCAAAGAGGTTGTAATGTTAGAGTTTTTAACTAAAGTCAAGGTTTTCTAGGATTTTACATGGGCCTATCCATTGTTGGTGTTTTACATTCCACATCTGGCTTTAAAAGAAATGAGGGAGAGCTAAGCAAACTATCTAGCCTTTTAACTGTTTCTTTCTTAAATTAAAATTATTTCATAAGAATGCTTTAAAATGCCTTGGATAGGGCTGCAATAAGCTAGTCTGTTCCCCCTGTTCATGACTGCAGACATGATTAATGTTACTACTGTTGAAAGAAATGTCCTTTTGGGTTTGGCTCCAAGTGGGGAAAAAGACACTGGAGATATGGAGGCTGCTTGGAAAGATGGTTTATTGGTGGACAGGACCAGATGGCTTGAGGCCTGAACAGAAAAGGGGGATCAGATGCTTCAATGTTGGCGGAGAAGAAGAGAAGGAAGGGCTGAGATGCTGAGTCCCTGGTTTTATGCCCTCTCTGGCCTTCGATCTTGAGCTTGTGTTCTAATTGGTTGTCAGACTCCCATGGGGCCATGCAGGGGCAACTCTCTAGGCTGCAGTTTTGAATCCAGGTTTGGTTGAGTTCTCAGATGCCATGTGGTGAGTTGGGTAATGCCTTAATCCCATCATTCTGGAGCTGAGGGGAGAACTCTTTATTATGTAAAGTGGACTAGCT